AGTGTCTGTCCTACTTACGTGACTGCAATAGCCCTGTGATTCAGCCTGGCATCAACCAAATGAACGAGGATTATCCTCCAAACAGAGATGGGTATTTAAAATAGTCTCTAATATAAATCTGTTAACTCAGAAAAAACTAATATACCAGGAGTCCCTTGCCTTCCAATCATTTATAAAAGTAGCCTTTTCTAAGCCTCTGCTCCTCTCTTTTCTCCAAAGTTGTCTTCTGCTCATTTTTTATCCACCGTATTTCATTTAACCATTTCTGAATGAACTATTTCTAATGATTTTAGATTATACAATAAGCATAAAATAAAATTTGAACTAGAATCCAATATAAACCCTTAAGCCCCATATGATTTTTTTTTTGGTACATGAGTCAAGGCTAGAAATCTTCTCCAAGGTTCAACATGCATTTTAAAAATTATGTTAGGAATTTCTCCTTATTAAATTGTTTGACATTTCGATTAAAGTGGTAAATGACAGAAATATTTAGTTTCTCCTTTAAGAACGTATGAATGAAGTACTTTTCTATGTCCTTGTGTTTATTAATGATTTATTCTTTTGATGTAAAAAAATTCATAAGCTTTCGAGCCAGCCCTGATGGCCTCGTGGTTAGGGTTCAGTGTTGTTACTGCTTCAGCAGCCAGGGTTCGTTTCCTGGTTGTGGAACCACATGACCCATCTGTCAGTTGCCATGCTGTGGTGGCGGCTCACACAGAAGAACTAGAAGGACTTACTACTAGGATATACAACCATGCACTGGGGATTTGGGCAGAAAAAAATATCATAGGCTTTAAATTGGGGAAAAAGTGATATCTTTGAACTTCCTGTGGTAATAAAATATTCTGATAATAATAGGTAAAAAAAAAATTTGTATGTCATTTCGCTATTTCAATAAATGCAGGGAGAATTTTAGAATCCCCTCCATAGGTTCTTAATAAATTTTTTAACAAACAAAATTAATAGGAATGATATTTAAAGCAAAAGTATTTTATTTTCAAATAATTTTAGAGAGCAGCGAATGGAGTTTGAGTCTAAAATCATTTAACATCTCTGCCTTTTGCTTTTCCCAGTCGTAAGAATGGGAATACAAACATCTACTTCATGGAGCTTTTGCAAACTCAAATTAAATACTACAGTCATGCGCCACAAAACAGCATTACGGTCAACAATGGACCACATATATGATGGTCGCCCCATAAGATTAGTACCATATGGTCTAGGTGTGTAGTAGGTTATACCATCTAGGTTTGTGTCAGTTCATTCTGTGATGTTTGCACAATGACCAAATTGCCTAACAACACATTTCTCAGAATGCATCCCCATCATTAAGCAACACATGGGTGTATATGTGAAAAAAGTTTATAAATTATAAGACACTATTGGAATTTCAGGAATTATTATGTGACATTTTTATCAGCATAACAAAAATTTAAGATAATTTTCATCTATTAAGAGATGTAAGAGAAAGTTGTGTTAATACTAAATGAGCTTTATAGTATTTATTGCTTTTGTAAAATATAGGTTGGAATCATAATTTAAAATTTTTAGAATTTGTGTATATTCAGCATTGTATGAAGAATTACTATTTACAGCAATGCCATGAATAGTTATAGCTGATAGAATGACAGTTACAAATTAGGTGAGAATATCATGTAAGTTCATTCACAGCTCAATGTTGAAACACATATTTTGTTATGTTATTCTTTTTGGTGTTGATTACAACTTGTCTATTTACATCAAGTACTTCTTTGTGATATGTATTGCACATTTATGTCATCTAAGTGGTACTTAGATGGACTAGGGTTAGTTTTGTAGCAGGAGACAGAAAGAGAAAAAGACGACCCCTTCCGGAAGGACTCTGCTGGGAGCCAAGGATGCATACGAGGGGGTAAGGGCATGCCACGACACCAGAGAGTGCATTTGACATAGGACTTCAGGTCATAGCTCTAGGTATACCACTAATCCAATTTAGTAAAAAGTATAGAAATTATGGTAGCAGGAAACTGTAATTATAACCAAAAGCAAAAGCATAGGACATCTGATATTATACCTGTGTTTCTCAAACTAGACTATTCAACCAACAAAAAAAATGACTTTTTACACTTCCTATGAAAACATAAACACATTTCATATTTTATGTTTTAAAGAATAGCTGGGAAATTTTTTAAAAACATTAAGTAGTAAGCCACACCAAACATTAAAATAATGCAAAATAATAAAACATGTTAGTACTGACTGATAGATAGCTAGAACAATAGGTCAGAAGATAGAGCCCATCATTATACCAAATATTTACAGAAATTTAATTCAAATAAGGTAGTATTTTCACATTTATGTAGACAAGATGAATTATTCAAAAAACAGTGTAGGAAAAATGGATAGCCACTTGGAAAAATCTAGTTGGATTTCTGCTTCCTCAGCCCTTACACCAAAATAAATTTTAGATTGATCCAACATTTAAACATAATAAATGAAAATCTTAAAGTGCTTGAAAACTTGGAAGTTTTTTAATGTACGCCTGGAGTAAGAATGGCCCTTCCAAGCAGGATGACACAAAATTCAAAAATCCTTAAGGAAAAGATTTGATAAAATTAACAACACACAAATACAGAGTTTAAAAATGAAAAGAAAAATGACTGGCAAAGTATTTTAAATTAATAAGGAAGTGTCAATTTCTTAATTAGATAGAGTAGCATAACGGTTAAGAGTTCACGTGCATGTATTCACAAATTCATAAATACATACAAAGACATGCATATCTGTGATTGTAAATGCATACAAAGCTTAGACGAATTTATAAAGGGAAACTAGGGGTCCAGGTAATGCACTTTTCATTGTATAGCTTTCGAACTTCTGGATTTTTTTTTACTGTTGTCATGGGTTACATTACCTTTTCTAAATAAAATACAGCTTATAAAAATAAACGCTTGTAGCTTTCTGGTTCCAGCCATAGTAGAATAGCTTGTTTTGGACTCACCTTTCCGTGCAAAACAACTATAAAAGCTGGAAAATTTATAAAACATGGATTTGAAGGTTATGCAAGGCATCCAATATAGGCAGGGCTTGAAGGTCTAAAATTCTCGAGAGAAGGGAAGCGCATCATGTGAGATTTACATTCTCTCTGGCCTTTTCATTGAAGTCATTCTCCAGAGATCAGACAAGGAAAGTAGAGCATAAGCAGGAAGTGCAAGTCTTACTGTGCTGAGAAGCCCGAGGCCATATTTGGAGGCTGCCATACTGGCTGGGATTTAAAGGGCAAACACCAGGAGACCAGGAAACCTCAGAGACCGAGTTCAACATTAGTCAACAAATCTCCCCTAAATCATTGGCTGACTTCTAAACTGTGCACTCATAGGACAAGACTCAAAAAATTTCTCAAAACTTAGTAGAAATAGCATCTGGGAGGTTAAAATGCTAAAGCAGAGATGGCAGCAGCCACACGGCGTTGGGAGAAAAGTTGGAGCTCAACCCTGCCAAGGTGGGGTGGTTTGGTAAGCACCCAAGACCTTAATCTGAGACCCCAGGAGGGTTACGCTTCAATAGTAAGGGCCACACCTTGGGAATAAAGATGAAAATAAAATAACTAGCCCCAACAAAAATTAAAACCAAGCCTTAATAGGTGATTCCAAATGTGCTCTGACTGTTTTCCAAAAGAAAATCTAGCCCACCTGGAGGAAGATAACACCATTTAGAATTTCTACAGTTTTTCATCCAGGCCAAACATCTGAGGCATGTGAAAAGCAAAGAAACAAATGAACAAAAATCAAAGAAAAATAAGAAAGAAAAAGAGTAATCTACAGGTGATTTAGATATTTTAGACATCGGTTAGTTGTCAGTCAGGTTGCCAAAAAATAAAGAGAAAGAGAAAATTTTAAGAGCAGCTAAAGAAAAATCATACTTTGCTTTCAAAGGAGCAAAAAATAAAACTTACAGCTTAATGGTCATCATTAGAATGGAAGGCAGAAGACAATGGAATCTCTTTAAAGTGATCAAAGAGAAAAGGACAATTGACCTAGAATTCTCTCTAGTAAAAATATTCTTCAAAAATGAAGGTGAAGTCAGGATCTGTTAAATAAACGAAAGTTGAGCAAATACACAACCAGTAGGCCTGCTCTACAGGATAAGATAGTTCCTCATAGTAAATAAACACGACACCATATGGAAACAGAACTTCAGAAATAAAGACAAACAGGGGCTGGCCCTGTGGCCGCATGGTTAAGTTCCCACGTTCCGCTGCAGGCGGCCCAGGGTTTCGTTGGTTCGAATCCCAGGCACGGACATGGCACTGCTCATCAAACCACGCTGAGGCAGCGTCCCACATGCCACAACTAGAAGGACCCACAACGAAGAATATACAACTATGTACCGGGGGGACTTTGGGGAGAAAAAGGAAAAAATAAAATCTTTAAAAAAAAAAAGAAAGAAAGACAAACATTGGAAGCGGTAAATATAAATAAATATTGACTACTTCAATGAACAAAAATAATGTCTTGTAAGGAAGATCACAAACATAAAACTACAATTTATGACAACACCAGCACAAACGGCAGGAGTGGGTAAATGAAGTCAAACTGTTTGAAGGTGCCTGCGTTGAGAAGTGACAAATGTGCTAATTAGAGGTAGACAGCAATATATTTAAAAATGCATATTACAGTCTCCGGAAATTACCACTGTATGAAAAATAAAATAGCGAAAAACGAAATGGAGAAGGAAAAAGTGGAATAATTAAATATACCTGATTCACCCAAAAGAAGAACAGAAAGGAAGAATAAAGGAATGAAAAACAGATGGGCAAATGGAAAATATGTACCAACTGTAAGGGCTCAAGGAACATCAGAGCTGATCAAGGCAAAACATATCACCACCAGGTGGCAGGAACACACATACACACTGTGCCAGGCAACATTTTGACAGGTTTGCATGCAGGGAGGTCCCTCACAACATGACACTGATCAGAGGCTCAGGTGTGGGGGAGAAAGACAAGGGAACATTACCAAGGGGCCAGGAGATGGCAGAGGAGACGTGGGTGTCTAGGTGATGTCCCTTAGCAGTCTGGTGGTGAGCTTGTCTGTCTGGTTATTGGAAGCCTCCTCTGCAGCAGGTGACTTCTTCAGGGCATCTGCTTATCACAAAAATATCTTCACACTTTGTACCTATTTTGAAAAATATATTTGCACACAGATATTAGTCTATACACCTATCGAAAAAGATGCTGGCTGTGAATCTACAGTTATATTTTAAGAGTTCAAATCCTGGCTCCAATATTTATTTTCCAGGTGATTTTCAGGAAGTTACTGAACTCATATCATCTATACAATGAACATGATAATAACAGGACTCTCCTCACTGGATTACAGTGTAGATTGTGTGAGTTTATGTATAAACTGCTTAGGAGAGCACCTGGCACAAAATAAGCACTATATGAAAATATCTATTATTAGTACTATTTATTAAAAACATCAGTTAGGCTTCTGAGCATTTCACACAGAAGTACCAGTTGTCTTTTTTACTGTCTTAGAGTGTATATGTTGTAAAAAGATGTTTTTTACTTTTTAAAAAATAAGTTCTGATGCAACAAACCACACCATGCTTCAAAACTGACACATTAAACTGCCGAATTAGGTTTATTTCTTATTAGTGTGGTGCTCACCCTTACAAGTAGAGTGTTTGTAATATAATCACTGACTTTACACTTTCTGAAGTTTGTGAGGATGTATTTAAAGCTCTGGTGGTCTAGAGGTTAAGATTCGGCTCCATTGCCGTTGGCCCGGGTGAGTTTCCCAGTCAGGGAACCACAGCAGCCATCTGTCGGTTATTATACTGTGGCCGCTGCATGTTGCTGTGATGCTGAAAGCCATGCCACTGCTATTTCAAATACCAGCAGGGTCACCCACGGTGGACAGGTTTCAGCAGGGCTTCCAGACTAGACAGACTAGGAAGAAGGACCTGGCCACCCACTTCCAAAAAAGTTGGCCATGAAAATCCCATGAATAGCAGAGAGCACTGTCTGATACAGTGCCAGAAGGTGAGAGGATGGAGCAAAAAGACCGGGCAGCGTTTTGCTCTGCTGTACACAGGGCGCTAGGAGTCAGAATCCACTCAAAGACACTAACAACAAAATTTCAAAGTATTTAGGCATCAGGACTTTAACATTTGGTTTCTGCTCTTATTCCTGGCTTTATTTAGGGAAATACAAAAAATATGATTGGAAATCTGAAGAACTTATCTAAAATTAGCCACAGCTCTATGTGACTTTGGCCAAGTCAGTGCATATTCAATTTTTTCCATCTGCAAAGTGAGAGAATGAATGGTAGTTAGATGAACACTAAGACATTTATCAATCTGAGAAAAATGTAAATTTATACTCACACACAAACTCACACACAACACAAGCAGAGGCTGTCCAACTATAGTTCTTAAAGAAGGCCAGGATTTTTTTTTGTTTTGTCGATTAAAACCATATCAACGTTATGGGACAATTTCCAGCACATCTGTTCTGGATAATATTATCATAATTATTTCCTTCCATTGAACATCTCAGCAGTGCCAGAGACATATGCCAAGTAGGTCCAAAACTCGTATTATTAAGCAGTAACAACAGTCTCCAATTCTTTTCTTCCTCTCATGTATGATAATTGAAGTCAATTAAAGACTTCTGGTGGAATTCTGTAAGTTAAAATAAAGATTATTTGTATTTAACAGCTATACACGAACACTCACCTCTCAGCTTTGTGCAGATACACGATCTGGCTGATTTTTATTACTGCAAGGTCCAAGGCTGGGGCTTTGGGAAACGCACTCCGCTGCCAAGGTTCAGCACGCCCCTAACCGAGACGCCTGTGCCCCTGAAGCCAGATCTCCGGCGAGCTCTCTAGTTTTGCACCCCTTGCATCCAGGGCGGTGTAGGGAGGGCCTCAGAGGACAGACGCCCCGGAGACCGGACTCCCCAGAGGCCCTGGGTGTCTTCCCGCCACAGGGCCCAAAGGGGCCGGCTCAAACGACCTTCCTCTTTCCACTTCAGGAGTGCAGTGGGGGAACCGCCGGGTCCTGGGAAGATGTCCTGCGGAGCGGGCTGACCCCTGACCTACAGGCCTAGAGTTCCTGGACGCCTGAGGGCAAGGGAGGGGCGCGAACTGCCAAACTGAGCATGCGTGTCCTGCCGACTTCCTGTTCAGGCTCCCTGGGATCCCACCGGAGTCTGGGACGTGCAGGGATTGGTCGGCCACAGGCAGGGATTTCTTGGGGATGCCCCCTGGACTGACAGGGTCCATCCCACTCCAGAACAGAGTTGCCGAATCCCCTGAAGCCAGATCTCACAGGATCTCTGAGCCACATCTTGCAAGAACTCGGAAACCATTCCTAGCCGCCAGAGCTACACGAGGTGGGAGATGCCTGTGAATCGGGATTGCCAGACAGGCCCCAAATCCCATAAGGACAGCAGGGCCATATGAGGTCTAACAGTAACCACCATTCAAACTTCCTTCTCAGTGTCAAAGTGTGGGGACATAGTGTCCCCAGGAAGATGGCCTGGTGGAATAGGACAGTTCTTGTCCAGTAGGTCCAGTGGGCCTGATACCCGAGGGCAGGTGTGCAGGAGCTTATTGCACATGGATGTGCTGCATGAGTCAGCATTCAGGCTCCCTTTGTTCAGTCCCTGGGTTTGGGCTGTGTAGGGGTAGACCGCGACAAAGGTGAGGACTTCTAGGGGACACCCTGGGCTACCAAGGTCCATACTGCTCCAGGCAAGAGTTGCTGATTCTCCTGAAGCCAAGTCTCACGGGTTCTCAGGAGCTATTGCGGACCATTCTAGGGCTAGAAGAGATGAGAGACACCTTAGAATCGTGATTGCCAGACAGGCCCCAAGTCCCATAAAGTCAGCAGGACCATATGAGGTATGACGACAACCACCTTTCCAGACTCTGAGTCAATGGGTGAGTCGGGGAACCACTGACCCCGGGAGGATCTCCCAGTGGAAGAGGGCAACCCCTATCCAACAGGTCAAGAGCACCTGATGCCTGAAGGCAGGTGCGTGGGAGCTAACTGCACATGCATGTTCTGTAGTAGGACTCAGGCTCCCTGGGTTCCATTCCTGGTCTGAATCTTGTAGGGATAAATGGGACCTCAGATGGGGACTTCTGGGGGACGCACTGCCCTGCTAATATCCAGCCTGCTCCAAAACAGATGTCTGTTCCCCTGAAGCCAGATGTCACGGGAAAGCTTTAGTCTTGCATCCCAGGCAGTGCTGGGAAGTCTGCTGCTGAGAGACACCTGGGAGATCTGGCTTAGACAGAGGCCCTGTGTCCCTCTATGGCACAGGGCCATAGGGGTCTGACTCAAACAACCTTCCCAGCTCCACATCAGGAGTGCGGTGCAGTGAAAGAAAACGCTGGTCCCAGGAAGATGGCCTGCTGGCCTGGGCCCACCCAGCTTCAGAAATTTTCATGGGCTCCCCGCGAGTGTTTGCTTCATACCAACCTATTCATACATAAAGTAAAACTCCAAGAGACTGAAAAAGAGCAATCAGAGGAGAATAAATTGAACCATTAGAGCTCACTCAGACCTAGGAAACAATCAAGCTCTGACAAACCCCGTGCAGATTCCTCGAGTATCACTGGGAACACTTAACAGAGACCCCAGATAGGCCAGACCTTAGGATGAGACTAAACTGTCTCTACGTAGAAGTAAAGAGAAAATCTTAAAAGGTACCAAAGAAGGAAGAACCATCGTGTAGAGACAAATACAAATAGAATGATTTCAGAGCCCTCTTCAGAAAATACATAAGCCGGAAGTCAATGAAATGACATCTTTAAAATGTTAAAAGCAAACATCTGTCAACGTAAAATTCTATATCCAGTGAAAATGCTCCTCAAAAATGAAAACAAAATACTTTTGAAAAATACTTGTAATAATAAATTTGTGCGGGAATCAAGAAAGTAAACAGATGGATGGCAATCTGAAGTGGTGATATTAATATCAAATAAAGTCTTCTGGACAAAATTATTACCAGATATTTTTATATAGATTACATGTTGAAATGATCATCTTTTGGATACATTGGGTTAAATGAATTGTTAAAATGAGCTTAATCATTTTTTTCTTCTATTATTGTGGTTATTAGAAAATTTAAGATCATATATGTGGCTCACATTAAATTTCTGTTGGACAATGCTGGAATATAGTGTCCAGAAATTGATCCACATACATATGATCGATTGACTTTTAACAGAGATATCATGGTAATTCAAAGGGAAAGGATACTTTTTTTTAATGAATGGTGCTTGGAAAACTGAATATCCATCTGGAGAAAAAAATAAACTTCCACCATGAACTCAAGCAATGCACAAAAATTAACTCAAATGGATCATAGACTTAAGCTGTAGAACTCTTAGAAGAAACTATAGGAGAAAATCCTTGCAACCTGATGTAGCCAAAGAGTTCGTAGATATGACATAATGCGTAAACGACATAAAAAAAAATTTAAAAATTAGACTCTATAAAATTTAAAACTTCTCTTCAAAAGACACCATTAAAAAAGATATATATTTATATTTATGTATATACTGCTTAAAATACATATTTCTTGATATATATCTTGAAACATGTATATATATATATACACACATACATAGAGGCAAAGGCCTTGTATCCAGGATATTTTTAAAACTTTTATAATTCAATAATAAAAAGACAATCTAAGTTAAAAATGGGGGTAGGCAAATGCTACATGAAAGATGCTCAACAGTATTATTCACCAGGTAAAATGCAAAGTAAAACCACAATGAGATAGCATGCACACGTTTAACAGCAAAAATTAGAAAGATTAAAAATAATCAAGTTTGCCAAACACGTGGAGCAACTGAGAGCTCTCACACATTACTTGTGGGAATGAAAAATGATACAACCACTTTGAAAAAAGTTGGGTAAAAATCCCTTAAGGTTAAACATATATTTACCACATAACTCAGCAATTCTTCTACCTATTTACCTAAAAGAAATGCAAATATATGTATAGACAAAGCCTTGTACATGAATATTCATAGCAGTTTTATTCATATAAGCTAAAGCATTGAACAATTTTAATGTCTAGCAATAGGTGAATGGATAGGTAAAGTGATGGATATTCATACAGTGAAGTGCTAGTCAATGATAAAAGGAAAAATTACTGATAAATGTAACAGCATGAATAAAACTTAAAAGAATTATGCTGAGCAAAATAAGCCAGACACAAAACAGTTCATATTGTATAATTATATTTATAAGAAACCCTAGAAAAGAAAAATCTAATAGTGACAACAGCACAACAGTGATTGCCTGAATCTGGGGCATTTGGAGGACTGAATGGATATAAGCACCACAGGCATTTTGGTGGCTTGTGGAAATGTTTTATGTCTTGAGTATGATGGTAGTATATACAAATGAATAAATTTGTCAACACTCATGTTAGGGGTTGAACTATGTCCCCCAAAATTCATATGTTTAAATCCTAATCCTCAGAACCTCATAATGTGACCTTATTTGGAAATAGATTTATTGCTAATGTAATCAGTTATGATAAGGTCATACTGGAGTAAGGTGGGCCCCTAATGCAATATGACTGGTGTGCTTATAAAAAGGAAAATTTGGACACAAATACACACACAAAAGAAAATGCCATGTGAATATTGGATTTATGCCACAAGCCAAGGAATGCACAAAAATGCCAGCAAACCAATAGAAGATAGGAGAGAGGCATGGAACAAATCATTCCTTCTTCCTTCAGAGGGAGCATGACCCTGCCAACACCTAGGTCTCAGACTTCTAGCCTTCAGAACTGTGAAACAATAAATTTCTGTTGTTTAACCCACTTATTTTGTGGTACTTCATTATAGCAGGCATAGGAAACTAACACAACTATTCAAAGTGGATAATGAATGCATACATTTTATTGCATGTAAATTACACCTCAATAAATCTGATTTAAAGTGATTGAGTCTAGTTCATTAATATCTGCAATAAAAATCCATGTAACCTCTGAGAGCACACAATAGTCACGTGTCCACATAGATATATATACACTATCATTTAACTAGTGTTCAGCAAGTGCTAGGCGATTTCAGACATGTTCTTTCATTTAATCTATTTCTCACACGAACCTTCTAAGAAAGTTATTATAATTCCTGCATTACATATGAGCTAAGGGACATTTAATAAAACTTGTCTGGCAGTGTCCAACTAGAAAGAGGCAGAGCTGGCATGGAAACCCAAAATTTCCCAATAGATTATATCAAGCTTACATCTAATTTTACATGATTGTTGATAGTATCAGATGTTATAATACATATGGACAGCTATACACATTTTACATTTTTATCTGTAACAGCAAATTTTCCATTATGTTTTCCATTTCTATACATCTCTTAAAATTCCTACTTTTAGTCCGCATCACAACTTTGAAGCATGTCTTCTTTCTCACCTCCCAGAGTCCAATAGCTAAGTCTTAGGTACTCTAATCTATTCTAAGACCTGTTACTTTTCTTCTTCTCTGTTTCTTTCCTATATTAGCCTGTTCTTGTTTTACGGGTATAGCATCTTCTAAACTCCCATTGGGGATATTAATGATAATATTTTTAGAGTTACTCTTCTTTTCTCTGAAACGTCTGGTGTCAGTTGATGTGATATTTGCTTATCTTTGCATACGTCTGATGATCCTTTTTGTCTGTTCATATATAAGTTTGAAGAACTGGATTGATTAACTCAGGCATCTCTTATTGTCAATCTGTTGCCTGAATGACAGATGTCTGACTTCAAGTTCTTCGTGTGTGGTGGTATGTTGAGTTGGACACATTTGAAGGTAGGTGGGCAGGTTGGGTTGGAGAGTAAAGAATCAAGTCAGGAGGCCACCTGAATGGAAGTTAGCAAGCTCATTCTTCAATCTCTTTGGTTCACAGCTCTACCATTAAGAAAAGCCCTCTCCTCAACTGCAGCCTTCACTTACGCAGGCTCTGAACTGAGGGCCCATGTTCTCTGAATCAGTCATCACTATGATTCCAACTGCCGTCCATTTTCAGGACGTTCATGCTTTTATTTTTCTTCCTCTTTATTATCCTTTTAATGAATTGGGGGAAGGGAACTAATTTGATCTATTGCCTTGAAAGAGTAGTCCAGTAGCTCAAAATCTATGGAACATAAACCTCCTTCTTTTCTGGTGTTCCCTGAACCAATGTTCTTTTTTATCTTATAGGCCACTTCTAAGGAAAACTAAATCTCTACTCTCTTCCACAGATCTTCCTACATCTAACAAATTTATGTCATATTCAAGAATTATAAGATTTTGTACAAAGGGCCAGCCCTGTGGCCGAGTAGTTGGGTTGTGCAGTCCGCTTTGGAGGCCCAGGGTTTCGCTGGTTTGGAGCTGGGTGTGGACATGGCACTGCTCATCAGGCCATGCTGAGGTGGCGTCCCACACAGCAGAGCCAGAGGGACCTACAACTAGAATATACAACTATGTACTGGGGGGCTTTGGGGTGAAGAAGAAAAACAAAAGGAAGATTAGCAACAGATGTTAGCTCTGGTGCCAAATCTCTTAAATAAAGCAGAAGAGAAGACTCCTAAAACTATGTATTAAAAAAAAGATAATCAGATCCTGTTTAAAAAAAAAAAATTTGTACCAGAGTACTTCTTAATTCAGTGTGCGAAGAATTAGTGAAATTATTCAGTCTCCATGGAAATGCCTAGCAGGGGTGATCTGACAGCAGGAGCACGGTCTTTAGAGTCGGACAGATAGAGACTTGAATTACATTTCTTGAACTCCAGCCCCTAGACAATGTTGTTTAACTTTTTATAGCCTGTGTTCTAGTACACAAGTTTGGGAAAATAATCTTGTCTCGCAGGCTTGTTGTGAGATTTAAATGATATATATATATGAAATGTAAAGCACTGTTTCCAACACATAGTTGGTGCTCAATACGTCATCCCCTCTCCCCTCTCTCATACACTCATCTGCAATCCATTGCTTTACACATGTTAATTGTGCCTAAATCAAGACAATCAAGCTCTCTAGATCTCATGGGTATTAAAGTAAAGTACTTATTGTAAACTGCTATAAAACTCTAAGCTTGATATCATTATAGAATGTATTCAATACGTTTTCTTCTCTGCTCAAACTCTGAATGCCTGAGTGTCTTTCGAGCACATTAATGTGTCATGTCATAGTATTATTCAATTTGGGCATCTCTTTGAACTCCAGCAGTGCATTTGAATCTTAAAGAGAGCCTGTCCACCCTGCTCTGTTCCCAGACTTCTCTCGACTCACACTGTATCACATCTCTGCTGCTTTGCCCTCGAGATAGACTGACTTTTGGCTTTTTGTTGCTGTTGTCGCTGGAATGTTTCTGCAGTAAGGCATTTGCACATTCTGTTCTTTCTGCAAGGAATTCTTCCTCTTCCTAGTTACTCCTACTCATACTTAAGATCTAAGCTTTAATGTCAATTCCTCAGGAAAGTCATCTTTCCTCTCTCCAGTAGGTCAAGTCCCACTTTTAAATACTCTTATTGTACTATAAACATTTTCTTTGTAACTACGCACTTCTACAACCTTCATGGTTTGTAGTCATATTATTTGCTTGATTATTTAATTAATATCTCTCTTGTTCACTAGATTCTAATTTCCTGAAGGCATTTTGCTTATAAGTGTATCTACAACGATCCACAGCAAATTGTAGGAATGCGGTATTTTTGGAATGAATGAAACCTTCAAGCTTCAGGAGGGGCTATTATTTGTTTGTTTATTTGTAGTTTTCACTATATTGTTCCTATCCAAGTTGTTCTTTTACAGCTTTAAAAAAATCTTTGTATTAGTATAAGTTAAGAGCTCAATCAGGTTGGGGTTGAACATTTCTGATATTATTTTAGGTCACTTCAGGCACTTTTAAATATTTATCTTCGATTTCCATTTCATCTTCTATACATGCTCCTTTTTAAAATTGAGCTTAGCAGATACAGCCTTGTATAGGCTCTCTGCTTTTCATCTTCATCAGCATATTCATAAATGTAATTAACAATTAATTCTGGTTTTAATTAGAAAACACTTTTTAGTAATCATTGAAAAATTAGTTTTCACAATTTAATGGCCTAGTACAAAGATGTTTGCTTATAGGCATTGTTTTGCACTCTATTTTGTGAAACATGACATAAGGATTGGAAGATAAGAGGAAAAGAGACTATCTAATTGCTAAGCATAATAGCAGAGTTCTAAAGAGTTTGCTAGCCTTTTAAAAAATCTCAGACTGATATAATTTAGCCTTTAATTCCAACAAATTAGTGAAAGAGGATCAGATTATTTGGCTAAACTATTTCTTCAGTTTTTGAATATTATGGGGCCAGGGCTGAAATATCAACTCACATAAGTGCTTTAAATCAACCTAAACAATGTAATTCTTTGTGTAATAAATTAGCTTGAACCCCAAATCTGAAGTTTGGTATGTTTACAAAAATGATAGCTCTGTTTCTTTGCTTTAGCTCACCCTGCTCTTCAAAAGACTTTACATTTCTTTTAAAAACATTTTAGAAATGCTAAAGAACAGTCAAGATTTCAAAATATTCAACATCGAATGGAAAAGCATACATTGTAAATGCCCATTATCTAACAGATTAGGAGAGATTTTTCTTTGGAGAACTCTGCTTTGCTTGAAATACACGGATTACTTTTATTAGATGCAGAACATTAAAGAAATAATTAACACGTAGTCTGATAAACTTTGAAAGCTAAAATAATGATATGAATACTATTTTACAAGCATTAACCTCTAAGTCCACATTTAGAATTGTTTACCAATAAGCTGTTTTCATTAGGTGTATTTTATCTTATGCTGTGATAATATACAACTACAGTCACTTTTGTCATCACGAATAAAACTAGGGATTGCTAGAATATTCATTTAGCGATGTTGACCCACTGTTTATACAGGGTAAAAATCACTGTATCTCTGGGGTAGAGGGATAGATAAGAGTATTAACATCTCAAGGAGCTTATCCTTAAGTTTTAAAGAACTAAATATAATACAAGGCAAAATTAAAAATTTAATATGGTCAAATTGAAAGGGCGTATTAGAGAGCATTATTTAATTCTTACCAGGAGAATTGCAGGAAAATTCCTAGAGGATTTCACACTTAGTTAAATGCTGAAGGATCAGCAGTGTAGTATAATAGATGCATAGTTTCCCCAAGGTAATAACAAAAATGATTATAATGATGTTAATAAAAATATATATTGACCACATACTATGTGTTTGATGTTCTTTTCAGTATATTATACAGAATATCTCAATTAATTCTTAGAGCAATCCCTAATGAGGTATTATTTGCCCCATTTTTTCAGGTGGGGTAATAGAAGCATAGAAAGTTAAGCGACTTATTCAAGGCCACATCTTGTGCAGAAGAGCACAGACGAGGAATATGGAACAAAACAAGGTTCTTAAATGCTTTTCTAAGATGATTTGGTTTTATTAAATAACGGCAAGTTATGGAAGAGAGCAATTCCAGTGAAAAAATTAAGGAGGCACTGAAAAGGAATGGAGAAGAACAAATGAGGAGGCTCCAGCTGGAGACACTGCAATAGTAAGGGAAACCAGCGATGAATAGCTAAACTAGGGGCAAATTCGTGAATCCTTATACTGACAGAATTGATGGGGCTTCCCCATTTGGGGGCCAGTGAGGAACAGAACATGAATTTCAATCATACTCTTTAAGAAGGTGTAAGGTGGCTTTTGGAAAAAAATGTTCCCACAAAATTTGCTTTAAATTTGGAAACTTTTTATGTATAAATGGTTAAGTTTTGGTTACCTATATTTCAGACTGTTTAATTCCTGGCCAATACTTGAGAACTGATCCTGATGTTAGTTTCTTCACAATTTGCTCTCCAGCAGCTGTTATGTGAGCCCCACCTTTTCTTTTCATTTTCTGTTTTATCCAGCTCTCTTACTTTGCCCAGTCCCTGCCTGTAATTTATCACTCTTTTATCTGCTCCTAAACACCTACTCTTTTACTTTCTAAAAATATTTGAAGTATTTATTGTTTTGTCAATTCTTTTATCATCACTTTATATCTTTCAGATTCTTTCCTTCTTGTTTATAAATTAATCTCTTTTTATTCAAATTTTCCCTTCATATAATGCTTCTAAATATATGATTGTCCATCTTCTTGTTCATATACAAATACCTAAATAATCAAGTTGATTTTGCAGATTTCTGGTATTAAGGATGCTATTTATATTAATGTCAATAACCCACATTTAAAAGACTTACAATAATTCTGTTAATTTAAAATGATTTCTAAATCAAAATAAAGATGCAAAGGGGACTGAAAAGAATATTTTGAAACATGATTAATTTTAATATGTTTACAGGGAAAGAGTAAATTCATCAGCAGGGAAAAAAAAATACCAAAACTAAAATTTTATATATTTTTAGTCTCAAAGCACAATATATTTTTCATAGAAACTAATATATAACCATCATAGGTACCACAATATGGCAACATTTATACACAAGGCCATTTACCATTAAGAAAATCAGTAGCAATGGTGATGCAATACATTAGTTTATCTTTGTTAAACTTTCTGCTATTATACTTCCTGGCCTGCAGGAGTATTTGCCAGGATACGAAAGAAAATGTGTGACCTCAGTTTCAACAATACAAAGTTCTGGCTGCCCACGCTTAACCCTATATTTACTATATGATCACTACAAATGTTTTCATACCACTACTCTGACTTCATTCCATTTACTATAAGGCCGTTCCCAAGGAATCAAACATTTTAACAGATTCATTTAGATATTAAGGAATTATTTTATACAAAATAAGAAGTGCAATATCAGGACTTAATATTCTATAAGCCCCAACTTAACAGAAGAGAAAAACTATACAGATATTAAGTGGAAAATAATTTGAGATTATTTGGACGTAAGAGCATAGTACTGAACTGGGGAAAACGTGATAATATAGTTTCCTTCATCTTTTTAGATGATTATTTTTAAATGCACCAGATGATTTTCTGAGGGCCATTCACATTCAATATTTAGATTCATTTTATTAGTGGCATATACAAAGCACCATAAAATATAATATATGAAATGTAGAACAATCATGACTATGTAATTAACTGTAGAAATAACTGCTAAGAAAATATAGCAATATTTAACACAGGATTTCTAAAACCATTACATATTCATTACTTTTCCCAAAGCTACTAATGTCCCATGTTTTATTTTACAGAATTTGTCTATCAAGATTTATATGCATTTGGCACTTTTGGGGGGGGCTGAAAATAGTTGATATCTTCTGTACAGTAATGTTACAGTTCTATACAAACTTCAGAAATATGGCATTTGGAATAGTCTTTACGTGTTCCAAGTGTTCCATTTCACATAACAGCAAATACTCTGAATGCCTTTCCTCCTGGAGGATTCTGTAAACTGCAAAAAATACAAAAAGTATACTGATGTCATCTACATATATAATCCTTCAAATAAATCGTATTTTCTTATGACAGTCAAGAAAGCAGCTCTGTGAATCCAGATGGTCAATTCTTAGGTCACTATAATTTATTGTTATTGGAAAGCTTGAGTGAAAATGACATAATTCCTTAAACCTTGGTTGTATGCTGGGCTGTAAGTTTACCAAAGAAATTTAAGAGGCAGAGTGGTAATAACAGTATTTTGTATAGAACTTCACAGATTCTAGATCATGTTTTCATATATTACCACCGTTGGTTCTAATAAAGCAGAATTAGGCAGCTATCATTCCATTTTCCTGGGGAATACTGAGATCCAGATTTACAACTGACTGGCATGGTTAAAAGTTAACTGCAAGTTAAAAAGACAGAGTTCAGCAAAACTCTAGATTACTAACTTATTATTATTTCATAAGTTTGACAAAATTTAAATTATATTGCTATTATGCTTATTAATACTTTTAACATCCACGGTTTCAAGAAAAATTTTACTGAGGAAATTTGGTCAAATCTGAAAGGTCCTAAGAATTTCTTCACTGAAATGGAAACACACAGAGAAGCGCTCAATCTCATTTTGGAAGTATTTCAAAACGGAAGTTAAAAGCAATGCAAAATCATATACTTTATTCTTTCCTAAATTATTTATATTTCATTTGGCAATATCAATCAAGGTATGTTTCATTTAAGTGCCTAAAAGTTAAAACAGACTGATAATGCCATTAATCATTATTTATTCTAATCCAATGTAAACTTTGAAGTCTTTACATTTTTGCACAAAGTTTTATTTTCCTAAGAATAATAAAAGGCTTTTGGAGATAACACCATAAATGCTAAGAGGAGACAAGGTAGAGTTCGTCTTATATATTTGTTCATGTACAAGAAAAGAAAGGGGAAAGTGTTAGAGTGAAAGAAGTATGAAGATCACAAGTGTGCACACATGACATGCACACAATAAACACACACATGCACCAGGTTTCATACAAGGAGATAGCCAGTCGAAGCCACTTTTTTTGTAGGCAACAGATTCACAAAGTGCCCTAGAAAGTGAATGTGTTTGGTGGTGTGTCTTCTTTGAACACAGTGAGGCACTGGGAAAAATGCGTATTTCTGAGCCTACGGACCTAGAGCTGAACCCAAGCTCTGAGACGGACAAGTTAGATGACCTTGGGCACATCATTTAACCTCTTTGAGCCTCAGTTAACACATCTATTAAGTTCGGGTTTATGGAATCAACTTTATAGAGCTGTTGGTGGAGACAATACACTTAAAGTGCCTAGCAGTATCTGGAAAATTCATGGTAGGTGCTCCCAGTTTTTGTACGATATCATCTGTCATCTTATAGTTTTGGAATAAATTTAAGAAATATGACAAGTAAATGAAACCACATCACTCAGTTTAGCTTATAGAATTGCATATCAGACTCTATAACTGAAGGATCTATTTTATACAGCATATCTATTTTAAATATCATACAATATTTTTTACATATATATATGTCAGTCATATATATTGAGAGCTCCGTATGTGTGTGTATGTGTTTCAGTGAAGAAATTCTTAGGATCTTTCAGATTTGACCATTAAATTTACTTTCTAAAATTTTTCTTGAAACCACAGATGTTTAAAAGTATTAATAAGTGTGATAGCAATAGAATTTAAATTTTGTCAGACTTAGGAAATAATAAGTTAGTAATCTAGAGTAGTGCTATGAGCCAGAAGAGGCAGGCGGTAGAGAACTCAGCTTCTTAATAATGATGGCTTGATGTAGTCTCATCTGAAAATAGATGCTAAATACAAGTCTGTCTTTTTGTGAAGATGGAACCCAGATGGTTAAGTGGAAGGTCGTCTGGATACCCTGCATGTCACATCCTTTGGTGTCCTTTAGAGAAACTTTACTGTATATGTCAACCCTCCATTGACATTTTGAAGAACCCAGTAAAAGTCTAAAAGCTAGGGATTTTTCTGTATCCATACAAAATACACGGGACTGAATATTTGTTCCACAAGTACCAATGATTTGAAAAATGACTACAGGTTCTCTTCTCCTAACTTTTATTAATAGTTGATAAAGTAAGTCACATGAATTTTCCCAAACCAGTAAAATATATGATACTAATGGACGAAGTAGTATGAGATGACCAGAAAGAGTTCATTTATATCATACTAGGCATCCAACTTCCAATCAAAAAGAGAATTTGGTTCAGGGGAAAATCAGACTCATTGTTTTGGTCAAATACTTTGTCAAATAACTGGATTAGAGAAATACTCTGTGCCTTGCTTACCTAGAAAGAATTACATATAAAAACTAATCTAGAAAATCCAAAAGAGGATGAAAGAAATTTGCTCATTATAAAATCAATTAACAAAAGAGTGGTTCTGACTCGTAATCCGATTTTCATGTTGATTTTTATAAGCCTGCAGCAGACAGGCGCCTCTGGTACTGCAGCTTCCCCCATCCCTGGAGGACCGACTATTACACGGTGTGCTAAGGAAACAGACTGGCTCAGCCACATGACTTCAAATCCATACTAAAGTGAGTTGGTTGTAACGCAAGCATAAAGGGATAGATGGTATATACATGTATATATATGAGTATATAAATACACACATTCTTTTTTTTTAATTTACCTTTCTGAGAAGATTCCATTCTGAAAAGAAGCAGTGTAAGTCTTCCTTTTGTCCACAGGCATAATGTCAACATAACCACCCTGATTTTGAACCACACCAGCATGGACCGCTGCTCTGCAGATACTGGACAGCTGAGGGAGCAAGGAAAAACCTGCCGTTAATAGGAAATTTCTGCTGAGCTTGTCCAGCCTACTCTTCTACTGGAAAGAAGTCGCTGCCATCTGTCTCTATATGGATACTCAGTGAGCAGCTACTGGATGATGTTTTGTGCATGAAGGAAAGTTTCCAAAGTCACAAAGTCAAAGCCACTGCTAAGCAAGTCTGAAGGGCCATCTTAAGGGTGGCTGCCATGTAAAACCCCTTCACCATCTAATCCAGCAAGTACTTGCCTATCCAAACAGCAGGCTTTTTCTATTGTGGAGGCAATAAGGGGCAAATCAGCTCTTTTTATCTCTTCAAGGGCCTGATTATCACTCTTAAATTTCAGCTTTTGCTAGTCCCTCCTGAGCCACTCTGGCCGAATGTTCACGATGGGATTATCTGCACCTCGTTTATGCTCAGTTCTGACTTAGAAAAAATTCAAACAGTTCTGTTTATGTCTACCATCCCTTTCCCAAAAATATAGGATTATATTAAATGGGGGAGTTTTTTTCCTATTAAATAATATAATCTATGCCCAGAAAACTTGCCTGAAAGAATGACCCCAAGAAGAGAAACATGGCAAATAGTCATAACCGCTACCTCGATTTACAGTGCCTCTCACCCTGGTTTGAATGGTCTGACATGAAGCACTAGGAAAATTCTATGATTACAATGTACCAGTTACATAATCTGAATTGAATGGGATTTCTAAGGAGGAGAAAATTATTGTTTCAAGTACAACACTCTCATGTTTTTAAAACTACTGACTTCTAGAAGTCAACTCTTTTCTTTTGGCCCATGCAAGTCTTCTCTAGATTTTAACATTTGCTTTAATCCGAACGTTCTACGAAAATTTGTCCAAAGCTGAGTATAGCCTGAGGAAATCCTACAAAATGAAACACTTGAACTGTTTCAGTAGAAAGCAATCCACCTCATAGCCCCATGGGTTTTTTCTGATCCCACTGGTCTGTTCTTTTCTTATCTCTATGCACATGTGAGTGACTTAATGTGCTTTTTTACATTCACATAAGCATGTGCCTCTTATATGACCTTGCTTTATTACTGTGCTCTGAACTTTGTGGCTTCAGTCAGTATTTATTAGATCAGAGAGCCCGAATGCCAAGCTGTTTAATCCTTCTCATGTTTTCTATATCACAAAATGCCATATATCTAGAACCTCGTTTCCTTACTCTGAGGAAGCATTTTATTCACCATTTAAAGTCTCTCACTAAATTAACATTTGTATCCAATATGGTTCATAACAGATGGAATTAAAAATAATTCTGTACATATTTCAAGTATTTATCTTACTTTGTTAAAGGACTATTATCAGCATTTTTCCGAAGGCAGGAAAAGTGCTTAGATGTAACATTCACTAAATCCAAGCACTTAATATGTTTTGAAACTATTGTTTGGCCCATAACTATGCAGTCAGCAGGCATTCCTATTTGAGTTCAAAGGTCAGAAGAGATTTTCTTTTCATACACAGGCTTGACAAGAATTAATATATTATGAATTAAAGAAAGAAGAATTTATCTGCGAAAGCAGTGGAACATTTTAAATGAATGCAGAAATTAACTTTATCTGTAACAAATGAGAAATAAAAGTTCAAAGCAAGAGAATGTACAAATTGTA